AAATAAAACAAAAATTAAATAAAATAAAATAAAATAAAAATAATAAAAATGTAAATAAAATTAAATAAAATAAACACAATAAAATAATTAAATTAAAATAAAAATGCTAATAAAATTAAATAAAATACAAAAATAAAACAATTTAATTTAATAAAACAAAATTCAACCAATTAAAATAAAATAAAATAAAATAAATACAAAAAAATAAAACAAAGAATTAGAAGAAATTATTTAATAAAATAAAACTAAAGTAAATTACAAAATAAACAAATTATATTAAATAAGTAAAAAATAAAATAAAATAAAATAAAATAAAATAAAATAAAATAAAATAAAATAAAATTAAATTAAATTAAATTAAATTAAATTAAATTAAATTAAATTAAATTGAATTAAATTAAATTAAATTAAATTAAATTAAATTAAATTATTAGAAAACAGTGTAAAAAGTGATTAGGTACTTAGGTACTTAGTGAGTAAACCAATTGCTCTTTCAGACTCGAGTGTGTCTTCTAAAGAGTTAGATTAGTCTTAATGAAGCCCCAAATATGTGATATTGTAATAATTGCAGTAATTATTTGAAAACAGACTGATAGTCTGATACTATAAAAAGGGATTAGTTGAGTTTAAAAACAGTGAGTACAATTAGCATAATTATAAAAATTATAATTAAGTCAGCTTAACAGTTCCAAGTTACAATGGGTTTACTTATTTTTGTAACGGTCAACTTGCTGTTAAGGCAATTGGTTTACTCACGTTAAATAACTAATCACCGTTTACAGAACAGTCAGATGAAAAGCACTGCAAACTTTATCATTTACTTCAGACATTCAGCGCACCAGCGCAGAAGGACCTTAAAGCTTGGAGATATGAAATGTTTGCATTATTTAAAGACCGGGAATAATGTAAGCAAGTGGCAATGATGCTAAAGTGTTCATCTCATCCATAATGACAATCAGAAACTTTTGTAAAAAAAACACTATTGTTTTGCTGTCCTTATATACTGATTTAAATATTAAATATTGATTTAAATAAAATAAACTATG